TCTCTGTACTCTGGCATTTATTGTCTGGTTTGCCTCTACCTCACTTGGCCTTTACTCGCGGACCTTCTCTGATGGAATAACAAAAGAGCACATTCGATGTGTGGAGTAGGTGTGTAGTACTGATAGTGAAAATAGTCAGACATCTCTCTTTCCTCGAGTCTCTTAATTCTGACAGCGTGTTACTTTTAGCAACCATGCTTACTTATTTCTTGGCTTTTTYGTGAAAGACTTCCTGGCTGTTGTCCTGGTACTTTTCTTTTTCTATTTTCTATGTTCTTTTTCTATCTGTTTAATGAAAATGGAGGAGAACCCAAGTGTGCCTGTAGTGCAGAGTGGATACCCTTGGAAAAAAGGAGGGAGAAATCAARCTGACAGATATTAGCTATTTGAATCCGATCTTAATTTCCTTGTGATCTAAGCACCCCACAGTTTGGTTAGATATTCATTCATATCTTGCTACAAAGCCAGTGGGTTATTCCAAGCCACTGTTTCATACTTCCACTTTCTTTCTAGATGTTCCTGAGTTTTTACTGGAAGAGATTTCCACATTCTTTCTTGCTGTCTTGCACTGATACAATATGTTAACATTATATAAGTTAATGTATTGGTGATACATGTACTAAAGATATTTGTGCTTTCATTTTTACACATGTAAAGCGGTTTAAATTTTGCCAAAGCTGGCAACCCCGACTGTCCTTTGTTTTTAATATGCATCTGTTTCTCTAGCTTGGAACTTCATAAAAAAAAATCTTCAGAAAAACCTCTTCTCAGAAGTAAGGTTAGAGGAAGGAAGTTTTTACTTTTAATTGAGGAAAAAGTCTTGTCAGTTTTTCCTATCTTTTAGTGGGGAGCAGGGAGTATTATGGAGGGTTGACACAATCTGATAGTTCTGTGGTTTGTAGCATCAGATCAAATAGAAGGCCCACCCTACAAATGTATCAGAATGTATCTCTTGCTATCCCTGAAAAATTTGCAAAGGTCTGACTGCAGAATACAAACTATTCATGGTGCCTCATGGTAAGGCGATAAAGAAGGAAATATTGTGGAGAAATTCATTCAATGAGTTGCCCATTCATTGTTTTTAATGACAGAAATCTTGGGTATCAGGGACATGGTAGCCCATTCTKTTAATGTAAACAGTGTCAGAAAGTATATTGGCAAGATGTGCAAATAACCATTTAAAATGACTGAATTGCTTGGATCAATTTCATGTTTGTTACCAGAATATTCTTTTAGCCCAGTTGGATCTGTCTTCCAGCATACCTGTATTTTTTATTTAGTGAGCAGATCCACAGCCATCCACTTTGGATTGTTCAGTTTATTTGTTCCAGGATGTCTCAAGGTTTCTCTAGTTGGTTTTGGTGTAGACAGGTTGCTTGGGCTCGAGATACAATTCACATAGGATGTCTGGGGATTGGTTCATGGGTGTGAGTGTGTTTGACTTTCCATGTGTCTGCTCTGTTAATGCTGCTTGAAGGCCCAGAAATGTCTTCAAAGTGCTGTAGATGTGTTCAGGTTTGGATTTTGATCTGTGTAGGAATGGCGTTATGTGGGAAGGGAAGAATTAGGAAATTGCTCAAAATCACCTGGMTGATCAAGCCTTCTCAAATAAACTGTAGTCTTTCTAGATGTTATGCACAATTAGGGAACTGAAACTGTGCTGTAATTCAAGTGAAGTGTTTTTTTGACAGTGAGTATGTCCTGATCCCCAACCCCCTGGACYTGTCACAGTCTGTGGGAAGGGCAGTGGCACCCCCAGCCATTCTGTGACATTTCAGTAGCAGCTTGTGCTGCTGTGGCATRGGTTGTGGCATGGGTTGCTTTGTGTGGATCCTAAGCCAACAGAAGTGTAAAACCCCAGCCCTGAAATGAAACTTGTAAAGGTGTGTAAATAAGAAGCACTGTACTCTGGAGAGTAATAAATGCGACTTACTATTTTGCTAGAAATAAAGAGTAATCATTCACATGCAAGAAGTGTGTTTCTGTGTCAGGTTTGGGGTAACTGAGGGTCTCTTGCTCCCCAGGGGGAAAAMCTGCACTCATGAAATGTCCTCTCCTGTTTGGATTATTTTACATTATTCTACCCTATATTTTATTATCACCCATCCATGTAACTATTCTCAGGCTGCTTCAGAGTAAGAAAGAAGTATGGCTAGAGAAAAAGTTGTTTGTTTGCTTTTTTTTCTCCTGCTAGCTGCAGGTGAGAAAGCTCTTTTACTTGCAAAGGAAAGCAAAAGGTAACACAGTTTTTTTAAATAAAAATAATGGAAATTGTAAGATTTAAATGTTTTCAAAGCATTGATGTGCTAATGCTTGCAATAATCACAAAAATRCGTCTTAATTCGAGGTGAAAGTTTAGTCTCTATTCACACCTTCAGTAACTTGAGTTTCTGTTTATGTATACATAATTCCTTTGACTCCCAGGACTATCATACTGGAGGTCTTAAAATTTTGTGAATCCTGTAAGGTAATAGAGGTTTAGATGGTGAATTGGAGGAGAAGCTGACAGGTCTGGGCCTTAATCATATCCAYGAATATTTCAGAGGTAAAGTGCTTGGGTCTTAGCTCGTGCAACACTGATCATATGGGTATTACTACAGGACACTTCTAATCTCTTAACCCTGGTGCTTATTGACTGTCCTTTCCAGGTGCTTGCATCTCCCTGCCAGCATGTCGTTTTTCCTTTTTAGTTTGACTGCTTTAGTAATAGAATGAAAGAGTAATATCTTGGGGATGATGCGGACATCATTTAAAGTTGAAAAGGTTCTCTTGAACTTGGATTTTAAGTGCAATACAGTAAAATCTAAAGTAGTATAATCTGATACTTCTGTGTCTTAAAATACATTTTTTGGAAAAAGACAGCAGTGGAGGAAAAACAAGTAATTATTTTAAGACCCCTAACACAAATGCTAATGTTAACAACTAAGAGATTTGAGAGTATGTATGTGTAAGCTGTAACAAGCTGCAGTAATGCATAAAGTCTTTTTCTTCTGCATCATATTTGGTCCTRCTAAGCACATTTACTTTCAAATAGGGTTTGTAGTTAAATGACAAGAGAGAACAATGCATTGTCATTAATATTTTCTAAAAGTTTGTTTACCCTGCTGTTTTGGAAGGGGAGGGAAAGCTTCTTGAAAGAATCTGTGCCTGATTGGAATATTTAATCCTTTAGTTAGCTGCCCCATTCTTGGGTAATTACTTATTTAGTAGCAATGCATATCTAGCAGGAGGCTTGAATTAGTGATTGCTAGTTCATGTTTCAGCTCTGTGGTTTTGGCCCGGATCCTTTTTAAAGCGGATTTCCATGAAACTGATTATCCACAGGCTAAAGTTAATCTGCAACACTTTATGTTTCAATGATACCTCTTCCACAGCAAAGTGTTAGATGTTGCCAGTAAAATTCCCTCCTTCCCTCACTTTTGAAAATGCAAGTACTTTGGTCTTCTTCTACCTTGGTGAATGCATTTCACTGGAGTGGCCGGCTGTTCTTGGAGACTGTGGGATGAAGGAAAGGTGCTGCTGCCACTCTGCAGTAATGAGCTGTTGGAAACAAGGACCTCAGGTCTGCTGAAATGGTTATAGCTTTGGTGCCTTCAATAATCAGGAAATTTGGTGTTGTGAGTCAGGAGGTCGCTCCTGGCTAGCCCTGTGAAACAGCAGGGTCACTTTCCTGCTAGGCCAGACTTGCATTGAGAAATGGAGTTGTGTATTTTCGTATTCTGCTACTTGAAGGAGCTTTAAGATATTCATGTGTCTCTCTGTTTGTTTTTCTTCTTTTTATTTCTCCTTTAATGCTAAAAGGTCCGTCACCCAGTTATCTGTGTGAACAACCATGTTTTCTGTTCCATTTGTATTGAAGTGTGGCTGAAGAACAATAATCAATGTCCAGCTTGCAGGATTCCCATCACGCCTGAAAATCCCTGCAAGGAAATTATAGGTAAGGACAACTTTAGGCTTTAAAATAATTTTCTGCTATTTACTGCTGGAGGAGATTGCTTTGAGTCCAGAGATGTCTGGATACCTTTTCCTCTGCATTTTTTACTAGCATCTGAAGAATTAACTAAATCTTTCCAATAACTTACCTAACAGCTACAAGGTTAAAGCTCCAAAGACATTGTTATATTAACAACTAGATTATTCAATAAGTACCCCATGGCTCTAATGATTGTTTTTTAAATCTTGGTTGGATGTTGCCTTTAAATGAAAAAAAAATGTATTYTCACCTATGCATTGCAATCTGTTGACCTAAGAGAACATTTAGCTGAGAAATAGTGTGCTGCAGTCCAGAATCTTGAATGAGTATGTGGTATTTTTAAATTTTTGTTTGTTTTGTTTTGTTTATCACTTCCTCTTTTTTTTATATTTTTAAGAAAATTACTCTTAGTGCAGAAGTAAGACAAAGCTACAGCACCTGAATGAGGATCTTAATTTCCCTAGAGCTAGAAAGGACTGGAGTCTTTACTTGACATAAAATATCAGCTCTATTTCATTCTGAGAGAAAATATATCTGAACAATCACATTTCAAAAACTTACACTAACTTGTACTAATTAAATGTAAGCTTGATACCCTGCCCATTCCCTTCAGCTTTGTTTTAATAATATGGTCTTAAATAATATAGGATTCTGCTAAGGAGAAAAAAAAAAGTTGAAAAATGTAAAAGTTTTCTTCCTGCTGTGAATCAAGATTTTGACTTCTAAACATAATTGGTAGATACTCAAGTTGAACCTGTTCGAGAGTGAAAAGACTTTAAATCTTCCATGGTAGCCAATTGCTCCAGTATTAGCTGCATTTGTAGTTGATAATACGAAAAGTGCCGTAGGGTGGATTACTTAAATGTAAGTGTTGAATTTGACTGAGAAGGAAATTATGTTAGTGCGTCTTTCATCCTATGTTGCTTTAGGAGGAACGAGTGAAAGTGATCGTATATTTAGTCCGACAGTCAGAAAACACCTACGTAAAACAAGGCTTGAATTGCTCCACAAAGAGTATGAGGTAAGGGCAAGGGGGAGTGTTGTGACTTTCCCAGTTGAACTGCAGCTGTTAAATTGCTAGATKGAAATGGTCCTTTTGCTTTGGGTCCCACTGTTTTTGAGTAAAGRTATGTACTGTATCTCATGAAACTCAGTTGCATTAAAATGCCATCTTTKGACTGTGATTGCAAGAGAGCACTTGCTGGTGCTTGAAGTGATCCCACTGAAGTCACAGTGATAGTCTTTCTAGATTACAAGTAGCCAAATACAATCAGTTCTTTAGTTTGGTGGGATTTCCACCCCCACGTGGTATGGCAGCATTTCCTTTACGTATATTAGCTGTAGCAAGCTTTTTGTGTTCAGTATGAATACAGACATTTTTCTGAAGTAATTCCCTGTTGCTCAGGGAGACTAAATTCCTTCTTAAAGAATATTGCCCACTGTAACCTTCTAGCATAGGTTAATTTTTAGTATTATTGTTTTATTGTTTTCTGAAAGTGAGTGAATGCTTGAAAGTGGAGTTTGAATGCTCCGGTCTCCTGCTGGAAAAATACTCTCTTGGGAAGATGAAAAGCTGTTAATAAGGAATGTGCTTAGTTTCTTTTCTCAGCTTTTGTTTCCTCAGCAGCAGTAGTGTGAAGACATCACATATTTTTGAAGGAAACCTGTCATGGGGAGGAGAATGAGGGAAAGGAAATGGACTCTATATATCCTTAACACTGGGGAAGTAAGAGCTGTCTTTTWTGAGAAGTTTGCCTATAGCTCAGCTTCTTTTATCCTCTATGGGAGATGGAGTCAGGAAGAAGAGATTTCCTGCCTTCCTGTTGAATCAACTTGAAACTCACACAGCTATGTATACAATAACATAAATACATTTTTAAAAGTCCTAAATTTAAAGTGGTTATGTCCATGCTGGGGTAGGGGCAGGCGTGATTATTTGAAAATGTGCCTTGGATTTATGTAAATGTTGTATATGGCTTCCTTAAGTAGTCTGACCATGAAAATACTCAAAATACATGAGTTGGTGAATAGTGTAGAAGGCATGTTTTCAGGATAAATTAATTCTTTTATCCCTTTAATAACAGACTTTGGAAGGTTTTTGCTTCCCTGTGGCTTCAGACTGATGCAGGCAAAAGCTTTGTTCTTTGCATTTTGAAAGTCTTTCCTAAGATGTTGCTGCTTTGGTGTAGCTGGAGCAGTTTTTCCAGGCAGCATTCTGTCCATTTTTGAATTTGGAGACTTTCAGCATCCTAACATGTGACATTTCAGAATGATAAGAGAGAAACACTCTTCAATAACAGCAAATGAGTCAGCAGAGGACGACCTTAAGAACACTCTTGATACAGGAAATACTCCCACAGAGTGCCCTAATAATAGATTCATATTGCTGAATGCTTTGAAGCTTTTGGTCTGCCCGACAGTTTGTTCAGGGTCCTTAATGTAGTCAAGGGATTCCCTCCACTAAAACCTTCAGTATGCTTGAGTGTGCAGGTTGATTAAAATCCTGCCTAAAGCACMATACATAAGCATACTTAGATATATGTGTAAGTGAAGGCATGCATCTGGGCTTGCCAGAACCCATGTTTCTAAAGTGCTGTGGGAACTTGCCAGTATTATTTAATTAATGTCACAAATTATTTTAATTCCTCTTTATTTCTGACACCTTTAGGATGAAATAGAATCCCTGCAAAAAGAAGTAGAAGATCTGAGAGGTAAAAATGGCAGTTTACAGATACAGCTGAAATCTCTTCTGGATCCTGCGGCATCAGCTTTGTCTTGCCAAAATGRGGAAACCAGCCAATCAGCAAATGAAGCAAGTACCAGTGGCCCAAAAACCCCAGAGCAATGGACCAAAACGCTGAAAACTGCCAATGATATGTGCGAAAAACTGATGGATAATGTGGAAAAGCTAAGTGAGGTAATAAATAAACACATATTTTGTAGTGTAGCTGTTTTGTGTTAGTTAAATGGGAGTGAGAACTACCATGACCTTTGGGTACTTCATAGATCTAGAAGAAAGAGGAAAAAAATTGAATTCCAGTGATTGTTGGTGTATCATAGTATTTCCATATAGCCCTTGCAAGTGTCAGATGTTATTGCTTGTTCTGGTGAGTCCTGTATGTGACTTTTCTTCAACTGCTCTGTCACTCTGTGACTGGGTAATTGGATTATAGTAGCAGTTGTCGACAGTATTGATGACAGATTTTTCAGCCTTGCAATAATCTATATAATATATCTATTTTACAACATTCAGTGGGCAAACACAGTAGAGTTGGCTGAGGCAGATTTTGCACTATTGCCCTCCCTGCTAGCCGATATTTTTGGTGCAATTTGCTGAGACAGAGTAACTTGACCCTTTGACTGAAAATAGACAAGCTTCAGCATTTTATGACCAGAAGATCCTTTACTGGAAACCTGCGGCCTTTTTGTACATCTTGATGTAATATAAAAGCAAGGATGCAGGAAGTAGGCATTTGAAAATACATCTAAATAATAGTACCTTGCAGAATATACCTGCAGGCACAAGAAGGATCACTTTGAACATTGAAGAAAAGGGAAATTTCAAGATTATTTGAAATCAAGGTGGAAAAAACTAGACATGTATTTATTAAAAATTCTGCTTTTATTTMTTCTATTAACAATCCTCGGTATCTTCCTGCAAAACTGAAGTGTGATGTGTTTAGGACTGTTTTTTTAAACTTTTTAAGCATTGATAGTGTTCACATTTTCTGTGCTGTAGATTTGGAGGCATACATTGTATTGTTCTGCCATTCTGTTAATGGAACACTTCTAGGACCCTAGGAGCTTCAGAATCACTTGTAGATGGCAAAAGGGGATTCACAGCAAAAAGTTCTTGTCTTTATATAATTTGGGGTGTTTTGCTCATGAAGTTAAATTGTCCTGCCTTTTTTTTTTTGTGAGGACTGTTTTTTTTAACTTTTTCCTCAGATAAGTAAGAAGAAGAATGTTTCAGGAACTGAGGAAGGGTTTTATTTGGGTATTTTTTCAATATAACTTCAGCCTTGGCAAAAAAAGAAGTTTAAGTATATGGAATCTCTGAATTTGGCCAAGAGTTAGAAAAAAATAGAGTTTTACATAGTTGAAGACTTCTTCCCTAAAACCTGTCATAGAATCATGAAAGATAGAAAATACCTTTAAGATCATTGAGTCCAACACTTTTTTCCCATCTGTTCCCTGCTTAACAGCTGCTCAATTCCTTAAGTACCTAAAGTCAGGTGGCTTTTTTAGACCTTGTGTCACTTGTCAGCATGCRTTGACCAACCCTATTCTGAACAGCAAGACCTCTTTCCCCCACACATACACAGTCTGGAACCAGAAACCTTCTTATCCATGAAAGTGCTTGACCCTGGAGTTTCAACCAGACATCACTTCCCAGTAAGATAAGATCCCTCAGCAAATGTGGTTGCCACCACTTTCTTTTTCAAAACTAGCCTGAWTCAAGAAATAGAAGGCATCTTTATTATTTAATGTTGTAAACCAGGCAAATACAGGAATGCCCAAAGTGGACATTAATGCTTTGAGTGGAGTCATTATAAGTATGGGTGTGGTGAAACTAAAATCCATAGGAGAAAGTCTAGACCAAGTACACTCATTAAAAATTGGTTATGTGAACTCTTTAATCTAGACATTGTGCTGCAGTTGGGGATCCTTTGCAGATTACTGACTTGGAGGGTAGAGCACTCTGGAGGAGGGCCACCAAGGAGGTTCAGTCCTGCCTTGCCATGTGCCACATGGATGCCCTGCCTACCAGCACTACACAAGTAATGGAATTTTTTACTTGATTGTGCAGCTGGGGGAGCTGTGTCTTTGCAAAGAGACAAAGGTCTTGGCCGTGGTGTTGAATGGTTTAATGATGCTTTGGAACCGAGCTTTCCTGGATTCTTATTCATTGCATTCAGGGTAGTTTTTTTTCTTTTTCTTTTTAAATACCAAGTAGTTGACACTCAGATACCCAAGCCCTGGGCTTGCCCTTCCCTTCTTTGCCACAAGTCTCTATTATTCTCTCTGTCCTTAGAAATATTGTGATGTTGGGGTTGGGGGGTGTTTGTTTATTTTTTCTGTTCCATTTCCCCTCTCCCTCTCTTGGAAAGGTTGCTAGGGATATTTATATGAGCATTTAAAGTTCTCTGCTTCTCTTCTTGCGCTATTTGATAATTCTGAAAAACTACTTTTCACTTCTGAGCCTAGTTGCATAGCTTTTTTTCAGATCTAGGTCTAGATTATATTTCTGTTTTGCAGTGGAAGCGTTACCTAATTGAGGCTGTGAATTACAAGTCCTGGACTGGTGGTGCTGTTTTTAGCATAGGGAGATTGAGCAGACTACAAAGTGCAAAGAGTATATTCTGCTTGTTAGGATAGTGGCATTCATTGTTTTGAAACACGTGGCAGGAAAACTTCTCTTTATATGAAGTGTCTTGTTAACAAGGGTGTCTGCTGAACTGAGAAGAAGGAATTGACCTCAATTGAAGGAGTAAGAAGGGTTGTGAATCAAGAATCTTAATCACAATGTCCTGAAAGAAAGTGAAGAAAGACTGCAAATAGCTTGTCGTAATGGATTTACATCCACGGGATAATTRTGCTTTAAAAACAAGCCAAAACCCACAAAGTAATCTTGTTCTAATTTGGAATGGGGGAAGCTGTTCAACATTAGTTTTGCTGATACCTGCACATTGTAATGTTAATGTACTTAACGCATTTAGTCATGTGGAAAAAAAAACATGGAATTGCCATTAGTACATCTCCTTAATGACTTTCTAYGCTAACTAACATAGCTGTGTTTATTTCCCTAGATAGGACACTTGCAATGTATTTTGGGAATATAAATAAAAAATGTCTGTTCGCTATTCAGTTTTGCAAACCATTTCCCATGGTGATTTTTAAGTGGTGTCCCTGTCTGAAGGCTGTTTCCTGACTGCACATTTCTAGTTCTGTCTCTTTAAAAAGGAGAAACAGCTTGTCCTATAAATATTAGAAGTCATTTCTGTTTCACTGTATACTTATTGTTTTCCTTTTCTTTTCCTTAGGCAAATAAGAAACTGAGCGTGGAAAACAATAGCCTTTTAAGAGAGAATTTGCGACTAAAAGCTGAAGTTGATAGTAGATCACCCCAAAAGTATGTGAATATTTTAAAAGCTACTATATTTTATTTATAGACTGTTTAACTGTTGTAGGACTRTTTAACCTAAAATTGTGGTGGTGTACATGGTTTTGCACATGTGTCTCCAGGTCGACTTTGAAATTTTTATCCTCGTGGACTTAGGTGAAAAATGAAACTTAAGAGAATAGCAGCGAATGGGTGAGTGATGCATCTTAGAGAATCTCAGCAAGTCCACAGTGAAGGAAAATTACAATGCTGTTCCTTGTGTTATATGGCCAGTATTGAAGTACTGGATTCATTAGTTGAATTCTACAGTTAACGTTGTTATTGGGAAATTTCTAAATCTGGTATACGGTCAAAGTAGGAAGTCTGTTACTGAGTGCAGATGTTCTGGTTGCTTGTGTTTGGGTTTGTTTTGTTCTTCCTTTTGCTGCCTTCGGGGTTTATTTTGTGAACTTGGGCTCCCTGTTCAAGGAAAGTTCCTAGTAGCTTTGTGTCTGAGCAGCATATGTAAAATTTGGCTTCTGTGGCATGAAAAATCATTCCCAGAACTGACATCTGTGTTTAAAACTCTTTCTTAAACAGCTAAAACACCAACTACAATATCCTAAAAAACTTTGCCATACTCATTAGAGCTGTTTCCTGAGGTACCTTTTCTTGAAGTACTTTGTAAGCAATATATTCATATTTTTTAAGTTCTTTTTCTTTCTTTCATTGGTTTTCTACCTTTCTTCTCTCATTTGTTTAGCTAGTARGAAGCTACTAACAATATTGGCCAAAGGTTTATATAGAGCTTTTGAGGAATMGGGTTGGGAGGCACATGTGTTATGTGAGAAGAAAGCTCTGGATTTTGTTCTRGTTCTGGCAACACCTGAAGGTTGTTGGACAGGTGTTGGACACCTGSTGGAAGAAAAAATTCATCTTTATAGAAGAACTTACTTGCCAGACTGCTTGTCATTTGAGACAACAGGAAGGAAGATGCATGATCCTTGTGCTGTGGAAACATAAAAGTGCATTCTGCCCTGAAGTCCCCTAATAAGATAGAGCCCTGTTTAAGGTCTTGGCAATGGCTTTTATGGCATGGAATATCTTTTCCCATAAAACTCAAGAGTGAGTTGGCGAGGAGGGCAAACTTAAAAAGTAAACAGATGTAACTAAATAAGTCCTAGAAGAGCTAGAAGAGACCAGATAATCTAAATTGATTTTTACTTTTCTGATATTAGGTAGACTCCCCAGTGGAGACAATTTTTTGGAAAAGTTTCAGAATGGGTCTGCAGTGCAATTTAAAATAGCTAGTGAATTGGTTCTTTGTAATTTAGTGTCACTACTATTGTTTCATTTGTCATGTATTCCTTAGCTTCAGATTCTCAAGTATGGATTCATGCTAAAACAACTAAGGAGCTAAATGAAATTACTATCAAATTATTTTGTAAAGGTTTTGTCAGTATTCAGTCCCTGTATCCCAAGTGTAGTTCATTTTGTGCATGATGACATTGGAGCTAAATAGCACAACACAAATTGTTTCAGTGAACTTTGCTTTACAGAAGAGGAAACACTAATGGCAGGTGAATGATCCCTTTGTAATACAGACTCTAGCTCTTACATCACAGGGAAAAATAGAATTAGCCTTCTTCAGGGGTCAATAAAAAACTTGCCTTTTATCATGACTTGAGTTGTTTTTTCTTTGTTCTTATCCATTAAAACCTGCTGAAAAATGTCATTATGTCAATAAAATTGATATTTCAGCCATGTCAGGAATTTTTACACATTTTTTTAACTGATGATGCTGATTGATTGATTAGCTTTTTGGTTTTTTTTCCTCAAAACATTTTTGAGAGTAGATCTGCACCAGAATACCTTACTGTCATATAGTTGGGACACATTTGTCTGAAAGGCAAATAAGGGTAAGTTTCTTGCTCTGATTCTYACTGAAGACCTGCATTAGTCTTCCATTTCTCAGGCAAATCAGACTGATTGGTGGTTGTCGTTTGTTCTTTGTTTACCTTTTCTCCTGATGAATTTTCAGCTACTTCAGTTTTCCCTATACCAAACACAAAAACTTCTAAAACTTAAGTTTTGCAGGATGATAAAACCCTATTACTTCCAGCTCTCCTTGAAATAGAAAACTGTTAGGTCTATTGGCAAGGCACAATGGATCTAAAAGCGTTTTTGGCAAAAGGACGTTTGCTTTTTACCTGAAGGAAAATAACTAGCAAGTGCATCTACTCCAGGGTATAGTGTATTTTATGAATGGTATATTCAAATTGGCTTGAACCAGACTTCTAGGCTTCCTAGGAGTCTTTTCCCTGAATATTTAATTCCTTCTGCCAGTTAAAATCCCAGTCTGAAAAGCTGTCTGTTACTTGCATAAAATTGTTGCATTATCTCTTTTCTTTGGTTTTGTGAGTTGTATTAGTGTTGTAGTTTTGCGGGGGGAGGAGCAGTTCCTCAGTTTTACTGTTTATCTTGTCTAGTTTTATGACTTCAGGTCCACTGATAGGTAAAGCTGTTGACTTTCTAGGTCATTCTTTACAACATTCAAGTTTTACCTAAATTGAATATTTCTGCACATACCAAGCTATTAAATTCAGTCTGCATTTCACCAGGCCTACAAATAGGCTTCTAAAAACGTGTGTCCAGGCTKCTATGGGTAAGAACATTGCTGTCTTCCCTGATAGAAAACTGGGCTATGCTCTCACCATGGTCTGGGCTATGGTCTGGGCTATGGTGTGCAAGTTTGCTGGTGCAGAGAAGTGACCATTTTCAAAGACTAGCTACAGTGTGCCCTTTAAAGTAAGTAGGGGAAAGTACTATATAACGGTCTTCAAAACAGCTCTGAGTTCTTGAGTCATAGCAATAAATCCTGAGAAAGTGGCCACTTCAGCCATGAAGATCTAAACCTTAGGCAGATGGGTAAGGACATTCAGATCACACTCTGGTTTTGTGGGTTTTCCARTAGTGGTTTTTTTTCAGTAGTTATGAAGTAATTCTTTCTAGCTTATGCTATTTGCTGATCCTGTGCAAATCTGCCTTTCTTACATGGAAGACCAGTGATAGTTCACTAAAATATGTTAAAATGCTTGGAGAGGCTTTGCATATTTGTCTAAGTTCAACCAATTCCCTAAGAGAAAGGGGAAGCTCATTCAGAGAATGTACCTGGCTTGTCCATTCCCCATGGACATTATATCTTGACTTTGTGGTTTTGGTTTGGGTTTTTTGCTTGCTAGGAGAAGGCTCTCATCCGACAGTAATGGTTTTTTTAGTTCTGATGTCTATGCAGATATGACATACTTTTATGACAGTTGTATAAAAGCTGGGTTGTTACCAAGATATATCTGCAGATCACCTTTCTTAGGTGATGTCGAGGGGAATTGCAGAACTTGTACAACTGGTACATGGTAACACTGAAGGACTGTAGAAATGAGTAGGTCTTTCAGTTGGTTTGTTCTTGATTTTTCTGCGTTTCTTTCCATCTGAGTGCAGAGCCCAAGGGAAAATGTGTGTCTGAATGATGGGGCCAGGTTTGGTTGTACACTCTGGGATTGCCCTTATCTCAAACTGTGACAAGCCCGATGGTACCTTGTCATGTTTCACTTTTTACCTTTGTTTCCTTTGGAGGATGGATCATGTTCATGTATCCTGAGCCTCAGGTTGGTCCCCAGCCTGGGCCATCAGGTGATCAGAACTGGAGAGTCAATTTCCATAGCACCCTTGCAGCCCCAATCTTCAGCAAGTGGTTATACAAGAAAAATGTTGCCACTGCCTGCTATCCAGAAAGAGAAGAATCTATGAGGTTGTGTGGTTTTAAACTGACTTCAGGGCTCAACCAGACAGACAYGCTGTAGTTAGTGGTCACTGATGTGTGAAAGTAAAACTCTAAAGCTAAATTTGCAGAACTGGTAGGTAAGAAGAGAAGAAACAACTGAAAAAAAATTGTTCTTCAACTACCCAAACAGTTTCTAAATGGACTTCTTCAGATGTTATCGTAGTTTAACCCCAGGCAGCAACTAAGCTCCACAAAGTCTCTCACTCACTCYCTTCTCGGGTTAARGAAGTGGAGAAGTAAAAATGAGAAAACACATGAGATAAAGACAGTTAAGTTGGGAAAGAAAAGCTATGCACAAACAAAGCAAGCCAAGGAATTCATTCACCACTTCCCACAGGCGGACAGGTGTTCAGGCATCTCCAGGAAATCAGGTTGCCATCATTACTAATTTGGGAAACAAACACCATCAGCTCACAACATCTCACCTTTACTTTTCTTTTCCCAGCTTTATGTTCTGAGCATTACTAGTTAGGGTGTGGGATATCTCTTCGGTGTGTTGGGATCAGCTTTCCCAGCTTCTTGTGCACCTCCAGCCTCCTCACTGGTGCACTGAGAGGCAGAAAACACCTTGACTCTGTTTTAAGAGCTGRACAGAAGCAATTAAAACATCCCATTATCAGCATTGTTTCCATGCYAAGTRCAAATCATAGCCCCWTACTAGCTACTGTGAAGAACTGTCGGATAAAAGCAGGATAGGAGTACTCAAACATAACTGAGAGAGCAGTTGTGGAATAATGCAAAGGAGGGTGACTCCAATGTAAGTTTGTCTTGCCCACTGTAGGGACGAGAAAAGGGGTTTTGACTGAGGAAAGATTCTGAAATACGAGGTTCAAATGTTCATCAGACATCCAGTGTCACCTCAGATGCTATAACGTATCCACTACTCATTCCTGGGGCTGATAGGTGTGGTATGGGGTCTGTAKATTCATCCTTCTAGAGCGATAGCTACAGGCCAGTAGTCATGTAAAAGACTTCAGGTGATACAAAATTGTGTTAGGTGTCTGTGTTGAAGGATCCAAATCCCGTTTGAAATGTCTTCCTGTTCACTTTATGAGTGACKGCTTATTTTTCTGGGCTTTCAGTTTTCTATACAAAGCATGTACTTGAAACAAATGCAGTGAGATCCAAAGTCATTATTTCAGTGATATGACTGAAAAACAAGACCCTAACACTCAAAAGTCTTTGTCCATGTGTGAGGATATGGCTTTCTTTTCGGTATATGTATGSTCTTTAGCACATATATACTACATACCATAACTTCTACTGAAGAATATATCGCCCTGTTGTGAAGTGTGAAATAATTCAAATACTTCAGGAAATATAATTTATCTGGATTGTCAGGGGAAACTTAAATTATTTTCATGTAACTRCTGCATTCTATTTTTGCTGTCATCAGACCCTATTTTTTTGGCTTTAGCACAGCTCACTGTGCATCTAAAGGGAAAAGAAGAAATCTCTTATGAGTGGTTTGGGGACATGGAGAGGATTCTGGCTTCTTCAACCAAAATATGAATGTTTTTAAACTCCCTTCTGACCTGCTAGGTCAGTCACTAAAACACCTGGAGTAATTGGCTGTTTTAACAATCTGTTAATCTACTGTTTTAACAATCCCAGTACTTGAAAATCTGGGAAATAAATGTGTTCAAGTCTTAAGGCAGGAACAGAAAGCAACTACTGTTCTAATGCCTAACAGCAGAAGTAACTTTGTAGGCAGCTTGTCACATGTTACATTTCTGAAAACCAAAATTCCCAAGCACATCCCTCTGCAACAATTAACATATTAGTGATGCTATTTGCCTTTGAACAACATACTGTATTTTTTTAACCTGAGGACACTTGTTATAAAAGTTACACTTGAGAATACAGTGCTTCTTCCTCATAAGCAAATCTCAGACTGTCRCTAATGCTATTTGCATTAAATAAACATATTACACCATTCTTCCATTAAAAAAGGAATTACCAGGTATGCATATAAATGTAAACATGTTCTAATTTTTATGTCAAGAGTGTCTGTTACAGCACACTGCAGAATATCTTGCTTATTTTACAGAAGCGTTTTTCCCTTTCTCTCACTTGGCTGTTCAGCTAAATTGTATTTTTGCATCTTCTTTGTATTATTCAGCAGTGTGGGATTTGCTCCTTTAAGACTGTGAATAGGTCTGTTAAAGAAAGGCAAAATAAATACTTGTGGATCACCTTAGGAAGTGGGAAAGATCTTGCTTGGGCCCTGCTGTGCTACAGTGACTCCTTCTATATCTTAATCCCAAATCTGTGTTCCTTTAACTGAAGGAGGAAATAAGCCAAAACATGTTGTATGTTAGGATGCTTATTTCACGTAACCCCCTTCCCCTGAAAATATAGTGGAAATATTCTTGAGCTGTGATTCTGCTTTTACCTAGTTTCATATGGGAGAAAGTCCTCTGTGCCTTTTCTCCAGTTTCCCTCTTGTGTGCAGCTAGAAATGGACCAACTTCTAYAAGCAATAGGGAAAACTTGTTTTCCAGAGAGCAAGTAAATTAAAAATTATCTTCTTTTTTTATAAAGGCAAAGATGATTGGATAGAGGTACTGGGGAGGTGAGGGGCTCCTTGCCTCAATCAAGTTCAAATCCAGCCAACTTCTTTTAGGGGAAAAGAGAAATCTTACTAAATACAAAACTTCTACTTGGCCATTTSTTATATACAGGGAATTGAGTGTCACACACCAAAACTTTGTGAAGCTTAGGCTGATCTGATTTTTAAAGTGGCCTAATAGCTGTGACAGAACCAACTTAAGACTGTTTTTGTGAATTGTTATCCATCACTGAACCATCTACACCAACCTCTTCAGAGTTCTTTAAATRTGCAGAATCAGTTGAATAGTGAAATTTATCAGTAGATTTGGTCACTCCTGCCCAATTTGTTTGGGGCTTATGATAGCCCTTATTGCTTTCCCCAGCTGTCCAGTTAATTGTATTGCAGTTGTCAGCAGCTTCCTGCTACTTTGGGCTCATGACTTGAAGAAGCAGAATAYGGTTTGATTGTTTGCTGGAAAGGCATGCATGGATCCATGGCTGTTTTGCTGTGGGGTTGCAGGCCACAGATATACCACCTTCAGATTTCACTGGTCCAAGGATTGCAGTAGGAGCATTTTGTGAAGAAGTAAGGCGATGGAATGGGCAAAATGGAGTGTAAATTCAGTAACTCTGAGGGAGGGACCGACAGACAGACAAAGAAAAATGGTGGAAATTTCAGGCAGTGTTCATGCTGAAGGAGTAAATACAAACCTGTGCTGTAACATGGAGTGCAAGATGGAAAATAGAAATTCAGTGTAAGCCCATGTACAGAATTGTCCTTTCTTTGTGATACAAAACATTACTTGTCAGAGTTATAGTGTGGCTGYAGGTCTTTCCTTTCTAAGAATATCAGAACTTTAATTGTTTTTTTTCTTTCTGTACATTGAAAGCCTTGGGTGGAGCAGGGAATTCCCTGGTGCTGACCTGTCAGTGACAGGTTAGAATTCAGGCATATAGCTGAAACTTTCACCTGCCCTCTGGGGAAGGTCAGTCTCGAAAGCTGTAGGAGGATGAGGGGAAGGCAAGTCCATATCTTGGCAGYTGAAAAGATGTTCAACCTGGAAACCCCACAGGCACACAACTTTCACAAACCACAAGCAGCAGGTTTTTGTCTAGAAAGAAATCAGAATGTTCTGGTTGTAAAGCTCAAAAAAACAAGTAACTCTAAGCAAGTAGATATACCATCCATAGGATGCATGAGAAAAAGCTGTATATCTAAAGGGAACRTAATTGAAATGGTCTATATAAGTATTTAAACCACCTCAAAGGACTATTGCAATTTCGGCATTTCATATCAGCATTTTGTTTTTGACAAGGTGACATTGTGAAAGAAATGTATTGTAAAACACTGCTGTACTGTAGGAAAATGATTGAATGTAAATATTTCAAGATGTGGACCACTGTTCAAATGTTATCATAAATCTTTGCCATTGTTTTAGGGGATAATTCTTCATGCATATTTGAGTTGAATTGATAGAACCAGCCCCTGGAAGGGTAATCTGCTTGTTATTGCCTTGCTACCGCTAATACTTTAATTTTGTCTTTTCCTGTAGAACCTCCACCTGTATGTTATTTGYGATGATTTCAGGACTTTTTTTTCATAACCAGCAGAGAAAAGTTCTGACTTTTGTTTTCACATTAACAGTGTTTAATAGCTTTGTTCTGTCTTGAAATGAGCTTGCCAAACCTTCACARGAATGTCTTTTTCCAGCTTAATATTTTCTTTCTTTTTTACTTATTGCAGGTTTGGTAGGTTTACAGTAGCTGCTCTTCAATCCAAAGTGGAACAAAGTGAACGTGAAATGAACCGTCTGAAAAAGGCACTGGAAAGAAGTGATAAATACATAGAAGAAATGGAGTGTCAGATTTTACAGCTGAAAAATGCAGGCAAAGGAAGCCAGACAGTGAGTGCTGGTAGTGAGGGAGTGGTTTCCACAGATGCTGAAGGAGGTGAGAGCAGTGAAGATACAGCATGTCTGAAAACCCAAGTTGAGGAGGAAAAGGCTTTGACTACCAATCAAAGTCCTGACAGTCTTGAACAGTYGACAAGTGGTGGAACTTGTTTAAGCTCTTCTAGTCAAGATGGCTTGAATAGCTCTAATACCCAGCATGCCCCAAAGAAAGAACTGTTTCCAGGATGCCACAGGSTTCTCCTGGATGAAAATAGTACAAATATGGATGCCTGCATAGAAGACCAGTGGAATAAAATTGAGGAATGTACCCCATATAAGGATGAAGAACYTTATGATCTTCCACCCCCATGCACTCCTTTTCTGTCTCTCAGTCGCCTTCAATTGAATACTCCTGATGGAAAAGAAAATTCAAGAAAACCATCAACATTCCTGAGAAAACTTAAATTTGAGGAGTTTCATGACACTTCAGATGATGCCAGCAAAGATTCTTCTGAGCACATCACATGCAGCAGTAGTAGCGAAAAGAAGCTAAGCTGTTTTACTACAGGAAAATCAGGGGTTTGGGGCACCTGCTCAACAAATTTTCATGAGAACTTAGATTTTGATGCATCAGAGCAAAATTCAGTAGTTGGTGASTTGGATGAGACAACAGCCAAGTCCAGTGATAAAACAAGTTCTTGCTTACCTARGAGATTACATACTCTCTGCGCTTCYGAAATGAATCGCACAAGAACCTCCAGCGAGGCCTCCATGGATGCTGCCTACCTTGATAAAATTTCTGAGTTGGACTCAATGATGTCTGAGTCAGACAACAGCAAGAGTCCATGCTATAATTTCAAGTCCTCTGATCTTGACAGTTCTTCCAAGTCAACAGAGTGTGCTAAGCTTCTAAATGGAGCCGAGAAGAATCTGGAAGAGATGAATGAGGAGCAGTGTATGAAGTGTCCAGAGACAAATGATCTGGCAGATGACAGAACTGGCTGGAAACCTGCTATGTTTTCCAACCGCTCCCCATCTGAYGTGATAGATATGAATGACCACTTTCCACTGTTTACAGGCCAAAACATAGTGGCTAATGGTGCCAAACCTCCAAATYCTTTATTTCAGAGGGATTTTTCCTCAAATGTACTGTTCAGTAACTCACAAAGATTTGAGGAACAGAAGTTTGGTTCCTGTTTTTTAAAGATGTCATCTGATCTGCAAAGTCAGATTAATTCTCCTTGGGTGWCTTCCTTTACATCTGAAAGGAAAAATAAAAATGTCAGCCAGTCAACCAAGAGGAAAATTCAGAACAGTCTTTCCAGTGCTAGTCCATCAAAAACCACCAAAAACTGATYCTTCTTGGAAATCAAACGTGACTCAAAGTTGTAAACCTGCAAATGTTTAATATTTACAGGTGAACTTAATTTTTAATGACTTCCATGCAATCTGATCTGTCRTTTTCGACTATGTGAAAACTGAATGTTCCCTTGACCATTGCAAGCTGTTTTCTAAGGAAGAACCATTCCTGATTCTTTTCTTTGACTGAGCATTTTATTTACCTGGGGGCTTGGGAGTTTTGGATGCTTTTTCAGTTTTCAGATTACATGCTCTTCCAATTGTGAGCACAGCTAATGGCTCCTTGAYAGTTCTAAGTGGTCTTGTCAAATTAGTCATTTATGTAAGAATTAGTTTTAAAGGTTACGTTTCCCATTCCTAAAGATTACATTTTGTGCATGTAAGGCAGCTACTGGCTGTATATCCTATGGATTCATGAAATTGCTATAAAATAATGTCAGTTTTGCCATAAAACTTTCCTCCCAGAGGAAATGTTCCTGCTTGGGCTGTTTTATAGAACTGTACTGTACTGAAACTCRTGTTTTAAGTGGATGTAAGGTCTCTTTCTTTTCAGGGTCACAGCACTTCAGTTAGAAAACATCACTGTTTTAACACTGCAATTATGGCTTTTTTTKAAGTTAAGCACAATTTTTAATTTAGTTCCCAAAAAGCATTGTTATTCTAAATGTGTTTAGTATGCCTGTATAGATGAKAAAAATGGGTTTGTATGCTAATGATTTGTTTACCTAATGTGCACTGAACATCTTACATTAATACTGTACCATTTTACATTAATACTGCATGCTTTTCTATGTGAATTGAATAAAACATGTTATAAGCACTGTAATCCTTGGTGTTGTCTCAAATATTGAATTAGCAAAAAAAAGGAATGGGAAAACTTATTTTTTTCGTAATTTGGAAAATAGATGCTTAAGTTTTGTAAGGCATAAACATGAACTTAATCACCAAAGGAAAAAAAAAAGCCCTCTTTTCCTCCCTCCTCCTTGTTAGACATACTACCACTCCAGTGTCAGCATCGATACAGTTGATGGAAATGGCTTTTGGCCTCTCTGGAGGTGACTCTTCCATGAAGTATTGCATAGGTCAACATAATGTGATGGCCTGCTACAGGCAGGAGACCTAATTAAGCAGCAGAGCAAAATTGGTTTCTTTGCATTATTGTGTTTTAAGTTTTTTAAGGCCATATTTAATTACAAGATGCAGATCTTTTTCTTTCTGCATAGGCCTCTAATGGCATTTCTTAGAAACAGATGTCCTCACTTCATCAATACCTATGATATGAAAAATCCATATGCTGCCTTTTGTCCCTTTGAAGAGTGCTATCCTATCCACTTGGAAAATTTCGATAGACTGGCTCATCTTTTGTAGAGTTAAGTTCTGTAAGCTGTTTGAACAAGAACTACATTTCACATTGTAATGTGATCATGCATTTGTGCAATTGAYGTGTTCTTCATAAGCTAGGACTTCACTTTTTTGAGCTTTACCAAAAAATCATCATTCAAGCCACACATGCAAGGTGCCTTTYGTGATGGCAGGCAGGATGACATTGTGCTTTCATACAGTGCTTTCAGTATGCCACCTGAGATTTWATCTTCACAGAAAAATCTAGTTGTTCAAGTTTAATATATTTTTCAGAAATTAGACAGTTCTCAAATCATCTGGAAATGAACTGTTACTTGATTTGACTAGTTTTACGAAAATTCAAAGAACACTGCCTTGCTATAGCTCTTTGGGAGAAGGGACACATTATTAAAACATCCTTGTGTTACAGAGCAGCCACAAATACAGGGTAACTGTGTGCTATACATTGTTGGTTTGTTTCATTGTGGCATGAGAGGAGTGAGTTTGTGGCTTCATTTTATACTCTGATTTTTCATGTTTCACTTCTGGCCACAGAAGCATGGATACAACTGATATCATGCCTGAAATCAAACTAGAATTAAGAAATACATTGGTGCTTTTTTCATGTTATTCATCCTTTGAGCAGGAACACCACATACAGGTTTGCTTTTCAGTACAAATGTTTTGACCGTTATGTGTCTTGCAACTTCAGTGGGTAGAAGAGCCAAGCCTAAGGTTAAAAAGGKTACATTCCTCTTAGCTTAAAATTTGGTGCTGTGATCAGTGCAATATCAACTCAAAAATTTCAGCTGTGTGTAATGACGGATTTCTTGACTGATAAATTTCTCAGCAGTACGTGGGATTTCAGTTCTGGCTGTGTTCTGTTGATGCTGTGCTTGCCTAATCACTTTCTGCACTTGATAAAATGGCCCAAAGTAGAGCTCATCACTGTTAATTTTGGATGGTACTTACCTAGTTATGTAGTAATGTAGAAATGGAATACACAGGATCTTAAACTTTACTATTAGAATTTTTATTGAGACAATAGACATAGAATTGGAATACACAAGATCTAAAACTTTACTATTAGAATTTTTATTAAGACAATAGACATTTCAAAGTGATGTACAGATGAGATCTATGATGTCTAATGATATTTAATAGCTCATAAAAATTTTACTTCATCTAATAATACCTGCTGTACTAAATACAAGATGATTTGCAGATTTTAACACATGAGAATGCTCTTCAAGACTATAGCTCAGGAAAGTGAGTTTGCTGCCAGCCTTGGTCAGTAGCACTAAGTGCTAGTAAAATCTTCTGGGTTGTATGTAAGAGCAGGAATGTCATAGTCCGGTTTTATTTAGGTATCCACAGTCTTACCTCCACGAAGTCTGGCAAATGACCTGCTTATCCATCATTCCCTAAAGGCCTTGTGAGAGTTCATTTCTGCTTGGTATCACTTACCCAGGTGAGAGGCTACCAGAATAACTGCCTGCCAGCACCAGATACTGACTGGGGCTGTGTTTGGCTTTAAATGTGCTCTCTTGTCTCTTCGTGAAGTACCTTTAAAAGTGGGGCAAGGGGGAGAATGCATCCCTTGTATGTATGCAATACAAGATGTGCTGTCTTGGTCTCCCATCCTTAAACCTTCTTCATTTCACAATAGTTTTCCTCACCTCATAGTGCCCTTGAGTCTGATCCTAATTCCTGCRCAGCATCCAAGTCATGCATCTGACTCCCAGAAACTGTAGGCTTGAAATACAGTCCTTGCACACCTGTTTTATGCTGGGATTATGGTTAAAATTTTGCCAACTGTGGACATTCCTTCATTGTTATTTTTTGGCATAAGACCATCCCCATGTAAATGGACCAAGGTTTCAATTCTTCCTTCCCAGGTTTGGACTGGAGAAAAGCAGCTCTGAGGTAACTCAATATGGGARTTATGTTTTTTCCAAGGTTTGGCCCTCTGGCTACGGATACAGRTCTAGCCCTTCCTGTGCCTTGATCCCTTGTAGCAGTCGTCTACTGCAGAAAGCCACCTTCTTGTCAGGTCTGGCCTAAAGGGGCAGCCTGTCTCTCCTGCCTTGGTGGCCCAGCGTTGAGTTACTGCCTCAGTGTCCCCCAGTTCTAACCGGTAAAACCATCTTCATTAGCTGAAGGGTGGAGGGAGAAGCTCAGCTGGCATAGGGGAAAGCTTGCGTGTGCCTTGACAGCTATGGATGTAGTGACAGGGAGCAGGGGGAAATGCAACTGAGCTGTAAAACAAAAGAAGTTGAGTATTCCCTTTTTTTCAGCTTTTCTCAGTAGAAAGCATTATCTYCTCCCCAAAGCTCTTACAGGCTGTGTGAGTGCTGTCTGCTGGTTTTCAGAGAAGCTTAGCAGACAAGTAACAAAGCTACTCCTACCTGATGCTCACAGGGCCATGGGATGCTCATTTCAAGCCAGCAGAATGTGCCGGGGGAAGGCAGGGACCGGGCACGGATGAGAAGAGTCCCTRTCCCTGTCCCTTTCCCGAGTAACTCTCCCCTTGGTGCATGCTGGGGAAAGCACTAGGGACTAGCTGCACGGCTGGACAGCTCCGCGGCCACCCGGATCTCACAGAAAACGGTGTCGGGGATGCTTTTTTATTCTGGCCGCCTCAGAGCTGTCTCCAGATTTGGGGGGAAGAAGTGTTGACGCTGGCTGCCAGCCAGGAAAGCGGCACGGAGCCCGTATGCCCTGCCTAGAGGGTGTCGTAGGGATGCGCCTGCCCCATCCCTTCCCGCTCGGGGCTCGACCTCCACCTGCTCGGCCAGGATTGCGGTCCCCAGCTCGGAAAAAAAAGGCCGAGGGAGGCCGACGTGTCCCTTGTCTGTGGGCCGCGGGCTCCCTTCTCCGCCGGTGCTGCCCTCCCCGGGCTCCCCCGCCCCACACAAACCCTCATTGCGGYTTTTTCCCCTCCTTCACTGTTAACAAAACCCGGTGATTAAGACTCGAAACTAACAAAGAGTTTTTCTTCCACCTTAACCTTGCACACAATCCTTTAACAAATTAATTAATCCTAATGAATTAACACTTCATTTATTTAAACGCGCTACAGTTCATGAATTAAATTTTCATGCAGTGATTAAAGGCTGTTAAAATATGCATGATTTCGTTAAAATTTTATAATAAATCAGGGCAATGTGTTACATGACAAGGCAACTACTTCCCAGCCCCTCGGAAGGTGCTTTGATTCGCGCGGGGGGGCGGGGGGAGCCGAGAGCTCCGCTCCCTGTTTGGGCAGCCGAGCGGACCCTGGAGCGCCGTGAGACGCGGCTGGCGACCGACCCCTGCCCCCTCGGAGCCCTCTTCGTGCCTCTCTCGGGGGGAGGAAGGGTGCGTTTCTCGGCAGCCGAGAAACGCACTGCCCCATCGAAACGTGGCGTCCTTGCMGAGCGAGCGATCGTGGACGCGGGTGAAAGCCAGAAGCCGGTTTGCCCACGGAGCGGGGGTGGAAGGGAGCAGGGTGTGGGAGGTGTTTGCTGGAGGGGCTTYTCGGTGTGCTTTTTATTTCCTCCGCATCACTTTAAAGAAAGAGCGAGAAACTTTACTGCCAACAGGAGCTGCAGTGTTTTTCACCGGACCTCTGCCTATTTGCTCCGGTCTCCTTCCTTTCCCGAAAGGGGACGTTGTGAACTACCTTGGGACTTAAATCACCATCAAGCGTTTCAATTTTTAATATGACAACATTCTACACTTTGGCTGCAAAAGCAATTATTGCGGCTTGTACATCAGTAATTAGCAGGTCTTTGCTGATGTAAGGAAAGTCCTCATTAGGACAAGGAAATACTTTTTGTGCATTCACCCAAAGGGTTGGTTGTGTTTTGTTGGGGGTTTTGTTTTGTTATTTCTTTTTTCTTCAGAAGGTTAATTTTGATCATCTAAAAGGAAAATAGCTTTCACTTTAAATGGGATATTGACTTTCTGTGAACTTCACCAAATAAACTTGTACTGTAGGTTTTCTTTCAGTGTTCCCAGTGACACTCAGGGTAGGACGTACATCGCGACTACAAAATGTAAAGCTAACATTTGSTGAAATGAAAATATCCAGAAGGTTTAGAGTGAGCGGTGAGATCCACATTAGCAATTTTTTTTTAAGTCGGAATATATAGCAAACTATGATCAGACGTTAATGGTTAATATCATAAGCTTTAGTATATTCATCTTTGGGGAATCCTAAAAAGAAAAATCAAATACAATGGGTTACAGTAATTAATTTATAAATCGTTTCACTATGGGAATAAGGGGTTACTTTATTGCCTTCTCGAGACAGGCAGTTCAGTCAATTAAGGAGTTCTGCCTATTTCTTGCACTTGAAGCCGGAGAAAACTACTGGACACAAGTAAATGTATATATATGTATGCCTCTGTTGCTTTATTGAGCATCTCGGGCCATAAACGTAGGGCTACAGCATGGTCGTGTCGCCAATGAACTCGCTCCTCAAAGCCTGCGA